TACAGCCAGGCACTCAGATACCACAGAATATGCTCAGAGGAGAAAGTCCGGCACCTTAACACATATGTACATCTTAACACACTTAAAACTGCCTTCACCAACCAAGGACACTCTGCTAGCGAAGTAGATTGAAACAGGTCACCCAAATACCCTGAGAGAACCTGCTTCAATACAGAAATAAAACCCCCTCTGACCTCACACCCCTAGTTGTCACCTGCCACCCCAAACTGGAACCTATATGGGGTATCAAACAACTACAACCCTACTCAATGGGGACCCCATTTCTGAACCCCCTCTTCTGGGCTTCAAACAACCCCGCAGGCATTCTGAGATCATCAGAAGCAAGCTCCCTGTAGACCAGGACACACCAACTCAAAGCAGCACCAGATCCTGTCAGAACAATGGATGCAAAACCTGTAGACAGATCTGCATTGCTACAATGATCAACACGCCCCTACAACACACCTTTCAAGATCCCTGGGTCCTGCGCATGCCTATCAAAACATGTGGTGTACCTCATCCAGTGTACTAAATGCCCCAATAACAACTACATGGGTGAAATGAAACCAGACGATCACCTTGAACGAACTCGAACCAACTCACACTGGAAAATGATCAAAGACAAAAACACCACATCACCTGTTGCTGAACATTAATTTCACAAAATCTTCACTCCATATCTGACCTCTCAGTCCTCATCCTCAAAGAAAACCTGCACAACACCTTCAAAAGACGAGCCTGGGAGCTTAAATTCATAACTTTGCTAGACACTAAAAATCATGGACTGAACAGAGACAGTGGATTTATGGCTTATTAAAACTATCTATAGCCCATGAACCTGTTCCCTCCCTTCTCCCACCCTACCCCCCCAGTGACTGCAGAGGTGTAAACAGGATACTTCACCTTGAATGGTCCCTTGAAATATGTGTTATCTACTTACGCTAATCAATCTGTTCAATCTTGGATTTAGTTGTGATGCTCTGAATACATTTCCCAGGCCTGAAGAAGAGCTCTGTGAAAGCTCGAAAGCTTGTCTCTCTCACCAACAGAAGCTGGTCCAATAAAAGATATTGCGCACCCACCTTGTCTCTCTAATGTCCAACACGGCAAGAGCACTGCAAACATACAGTGGAAAGTCAGGTCCATTGTTATACCCTAAGAGTGAAAAATCAGGCCCAATAAATTAACATTGTGAAAGTAGCTGCTCCTTTCTGAGCCCACCTCCTCAATAATTACTTGCATGGGTGTTTGTAGGTACTGGTTTGGGTAACTACACATGCAAATCACAGTCCCTAACATCTACATCATCAGCTTTTGGAATGCCCTTCTGTAGTTTGTCATAAAAGGCATACAGAATAACCTCTCCATGGCTTTGGGAGGGAAGCCAGAATTAGAACAGACAACTTACATTCTATGCTTCTTCCCCTGGGGTGCAAGTTTTCTTGCACCTGCCCATACCAGAAATCTACCAGCACCTACCATACCTCAGAGCTGTTTGTTTGGGATTTTTAGCTGTGTAGTAAAAACCAGCATCATTGCTCTAAACTAAAATTACACAGACAAATTAGAAAGATTAGTGTAAACAAAGAAACAGTTTAAAAACAGATGCATAATGGAGTACAGTGGTGACAATATTACTGCAGCTTGCATGCCCTTTGAGGGCACCAGCTGCTTGTGCTAGCAATGCAAAAAAAGGAAATGTGCAAGATACTGGGGTTGGATCATCCCTACCCTCCTCCTCATCCCCACACACTAAAACACAGGGGAGGGGGCTAAAGAGGAAGATGTTTCTGAGGATCCCCTACCCAGCCTTCCTGTTTTTTCACTGGGGAGAGGAGGGAGTGTGGTTTGCATACCCATGGAACAAGCAACAGGGCCAAACCTGGATAATCACCAGAGATTTCTATGGATCCTAGGAGATATGCAAAAGGCCACTAGTTTTGGTCCCTAGCACCCCCCAGCTGCACTGGAACCATGTTATTAGAGACTCCTCTAGCCCAAATCTTCACACTATGTACGGGAGGCCACAGAACAGCTAACAATCTCCATGAAGGCAGAGGGAGGAGAAGATTCATTCTGGGCCATGCCTCAAGCTAGTACATGCCCACTCTCTCTCCAAAGGGATTCTGATGCTGTGAGGAGCCCACTGCAATAGGCGGCTGCAAAGGCAACTAAGATGAGATCTGTGCATGCACATCCTGAGAGGCACAGTCTTTCTTGGAGAACAGAACTAATGTTAATAAAGGATTCTCCTTCATTATCATAGATAAAATATGAGTGTTAAAGCTTGCTTTCCTCAGAATAAATTTTAATTGTCTTCTAAACTTCTGAAAATAAGTCTTCTGTCTTTAATAGTCCCAGCTAATGCTCTGGGAGACTGAATGTGAATATAGTGCCAAATTCTGATCCTCAAACAGTCAACAAATATTTCCAGTAACTTCAAATGGATCAGCATTTGACTCCTATGACCAAATTCTACTCAGTTACACCAGTGTAAATACAGAATAAATCCAGTGACGTCAGTGGAGGTAGCTTGGATGTACTAGTGTAATGAGCCTGAATTTTGTAACTGAGAGCATGCTATGACCCACAAGGATAGAGACCAGTATATAGAATGTCTACCACTGGTCTGTTTGACACGGGTTATAAATTTTGTTTTCAATAATAAATAGGGGCTGGAGTTAGAATTGTTCTTCAGCCATTGCTCTAAGGTTTGAAATAGTTTTTTTATAAGCTCGTATAAGGTTTTCAAGCAGTTTGTGTACATATTACTACTTATTCATAGATTAAGGCCAGAAGAGACCATTATGGATGACTTGGTTTGACCACCACCTGAATGATGCTGTATGTGCCATTTTGTAAGTCTCTTTCTAAGAATATTGTACTACATTGTACCCTGTTAAAATTATCGTAGATATGACATGCTTTAAGAACCAAAATGCTTTGAAAGTAAATTTGATTGTACTGTAAGTAACATACTTACATTCTAAGTTAATTTAAATTAACAATTTAAATAGGTTGTATAAATTGGAGAAAGGATGAACAAAAAAGGCAGGTGATAATTTCAATTCACCATTTTTTTTATAAGCCTTGCAAGTAGAGCTAACTTAGCTATTATATGAAAGAGCTCTTTCAACAGAGCAAAACAACAACTTGGTTTATTTTAAAAATTTGTAAGTGCGACTGTACACGAGCTTCCTTCTTATTAATTTATTCAGAAGCTATTCCTCTGAATTACTGTAATTATGAAATAACAGATGCATTGTTTTAGTTTGAAGGTCTCCATTAAAATTAATGAGGGAAAACTCATGACTATCTATGCAAGTGTATAAGCAGCTTAGGTCTGATTGGTGAAAAGTTTCTCTCTTTCCTGATATGTCTGCCAGTCAACATTCTGAATCCTGCGGAAGGTGTTTTCCAGATTCAGACAGAAATTAATACTGTACTTTGACCCTGCAAAAAACAAATTAAAAACTTTAAAAAAAACCCCACACCTACTGGCAAATCCACAGTACAAGGGTAATCACAGTGCAGTATAGATGTATACAGCCAGAGGTTTTATTATAGTACCATCTGTTTTACAACATATAGGAAGACACAATCCCTGCCTTGAGGAGTTTACAATGTTTTAATCCCACAGTCGGATCTGCAGCGGAGGACCCTTGTAGAGCCCCATTAACTGACTAGGTTTTTAAACATTCTAAATATGTAAGCTCTTTGGGGGTGGGCCTGTCTTTCTTGTTGTGTTTGTACAGCATCTAGCACAATGGGATCCTGGACCATGAGAGAGACTCCTGGGTACCAATGGAATACTGCTAATAAATAAAAGGATTGATTCCGTTTTGTTCAGTATCATTTAAGAACAAAATAATGAGTCCATCAGGGCTCTCTGTGAGCACAAGAGTCTAACTGCAGGCCTGAATAAAACACAACATAGTTGTCAGACATCAGCCCCTTTGTGGGGAAGGGACTGATGACAAGGATGAGGCCTGAACCAGTTGTGATAGCATCATTTTGGGGCCCTTTTACAACCCAAATAAGCCAAAATGACGCTGCCCTTTCAGTTCAGTGAGGATATCAAAGGAAACCAAATGAATCCTTTTGTATTTGTGAATACAACCCGGTGAGCATCACTCTCTTATACCAATTAGAGGCTACATGGTATTTTCATCTGGTTCTACCATTTTCCTGCCCAAAGCCGAAGTTTCAGTAACTGAAGAGGAAGCAACAATTAAAAAACCAAGACAACCCCCTGCCTCCCACCCTAAACCACGTATTCCTCCCAAAGATTAAACTGCAGCCAGGGCAGCAGCAAAGCCAGGGCCTTGCCTTCCACCCCTTGTGTCCCGCACACCCTCCTCCTCCGAGACACCCCCCTCCCTTCCACGGCTTATTTCCAGCCTGCAGCTGGGGAAGCCCAGAGCCAGTGGTTGCAGACGGCAACACCCCCGCTAGCAGCGGGCTTGGGGTGGGGAGACTCTCGCACGATGGACGCGGGAGGAGCCTCTTTAATAGCGGCTTTCGCTGTCTGTCAAGGGGGTGGGCGGGCGCTTCGGGGAGCTGGAGTGTGGTACCTGGCGGAGCGCGGCTCTCCTCAGTGAGTCAAGGCTGCCAGTCCCCGGAGGAGGAGCAGCGCCCGCGCATGTGATTTTTTTTTGCCCTACCATCACCCCTTCCAGCCGACCCCGGGGGACTTTAGCAGCAGCAGCAGGAGCCTCCAGCTCCCCTGCAGGGACTTGCCTCCTGGAGAAAGTTTGCTTTTATTTTATCCGCCCCCCCCCGCGTTTCTTGACCCCTCCCAGGGCAGCGGGCTCCTGCTCCTGCCAACGCCGCAGCTGGCTCGCGCCGGGGGCTTCGGGGCGGGCTGGCGAGCCGCGCGTGTCCCACCGCGGGGCTGGGCAGCGGGGGCTGCTCCGCGCGCAGCCGGCGGCTCCCGGCCCTGAGTCCCCGCGGGCTGTGTGAGCGGGGCAGCGGCGGGGCGCGTTTGCTGCCTGTGGGGGCGGAAAGCCGCCCACCCCCACCGCGGGCGCACACCGGTTGCACCTGAGCTGCCCCGTCCTCCCCCCCGCATTACCACCGCAGCCCTTCCTCGGGGTCTGCCTGCGCGGCCGGGGGAGGGGGCAGAGAGTGACCATGCGAGAGAGAGGGAAGGTTTAACCCCCTCGCCTCCCCCCCCCCACACTCATGAATTAACTCCCGAGGGGGGGAGCAGCAGAGCCCGGGGACAGAAGGAGCCGGGCATCCCTCGTCTGCCTCAGAGGCGAGCCAGCAGCAGCCGCAGCAGCACCCGGCTGGGAGCGATGCCTCTGAGGCTCGCCTGGCTTTGGTGGGGGGGGCTGCTGTGCAGCTGCTGCTGCTCCCCGCCGCCGCCCGCGCTGCCCCTGCTGCCCGCCGCGGGGGCGCTGCTGGCGGACGGCAGCAGGGAGCAGCCGCAGCCTCCAGCCTCCCCCTCGCCGGGATTCCTCTACCGGCGCCTCAAGTCGCACGAGAAGCGGGAGATGCAGAAGGAGATCCTGTCCGTGCTGGGGCTTCCGCACCGGCCCCGGCCGCTGCACGGGCTGCAGCCGCGGCCGCCTCCTCCCCAGCAGCAGCTGCTGCCCCCGCCGGGCAGGCTCAACTCGGCTCCTCTCTTCATGCTGGATCTGTACAATGCCCTGTCCAGCGAGGAGGAGCAGGGGCCGGGGGCAGAGCGCCGCCGCCTGCAGCCCCACACCGCTCACACCCTGCAGCGCAAGACCCTCATCCCCCAGCCGGGACCCAGCGGCGGCTCCCCCTCGGCCAGCTCGCAGGACAGCGCCTTCCTCAACGATGCGGACATGGTCATGAGCTTTGTGAACCTGGGTGAGTGTCAGGCGGCCGCCTGGGGCAAGGGGCGGGCCAAGGGGGAGACGTGATCTGGGCGGTGGAAGCAGGTGGCATCGGAAAGTGGGCACCGCGCGAGAGCTGGGGGGGGGGGGGTAGAGCCAGCCGTCAGCCGCATTTGGAGGCTCTTGGGTGTGAATCCGGGATCAGAACATCGGTGTGTCTCGGCGGTGGGCTGCGCTTCTCTCCGGGGTGGCGGAGATCTTACCGGAGCTGACTCAACTTCCCCCTAGCAATCGCTAGACGGCCCCGCTGCTTAGACACGGTACTGGCCCTTTACTGCATCCCAGGGCAAGGTGCTACCTGAACCTCTTACAAGCACTCGCTCAGCGCTCCCTGGAATCTGCTCCATGGTGGGCTCTCCCTCTTTTGCCCCTGCAGGAGAGCACTCACCTAGCACTTTGCATCTTCAAATGCTAATTAGTTAAGGGCAGCAAAATATTCAGTGACTGTGAGTTGGTCGGGAGAGGCGCTTTTTCGTTTGTCTGTCTGTTTGTTTGTTTGTTTGTTTGACAGTTTTTGCCTGGAGCAGGGGAGTCAGGCTTGGCTGTCTGTTGTACATGTGAATGCGCACACATATGCTGCCCCATTTATTTATTTATTTTGCAGTGAGGTCCTGGATGGATGAATGTGTTGATTCTTGAGCAACCAATGTTTGTTCCCAAGTTACTGTTTAGTTACAGCCGCCTACATGAATATGTTGTCAGGGATCAAAGCAAAAAACCAAACACAACCCCTTCCCCCCAATTGCACATCATTTGCTATATTGAATGTGCACTGTGTTACTAACATAGGATTGTAGCAGATAAAGGCGGAAAGTTTCTAACAGATCATTGAATCCATCTCACTTCAAGTGCACAGTATATCCCCAGAGAAATGAGGTATTATTAAAGTGATGCTGCACTTGATATAATCCAGAAGGCCAAATCATAATTATTTTCAATTCAATAAGATTAAACAGGCCTTTGCTATTTCACTTAATTTTGAGGATGATTTTCAAATTACATTTGGATAATCTGATACATGCACCAACTTGATGATTAACTTTTTCCCCTCAGAGACTTGTTTGCTGTTAGTTGGTTGTTTTCAATAAGTGCAAAATAATGTGAGGTGGAAGGACATAAGATACCCTTAAAGTTTTGGACAATTTAAATCACAGTTTAGGACAGCTGTTCCAGTAGTAGAATAGCAAGAGTCATTCTGCAGGTTAGGATTGCACTGGCAGAGCTGTGGTGCACATCTGTATAACGCTTGCCCATCCTCTGAAAGTTTTTGGCCAGTGATACAACAGTGACAGACTAGAGTTGTATGGATACAACACCATCTTTTCTAATAAAAACAAACAGAATTTAGTAGTATCCTGTAGTCTTAGGCCTCAAATAACTAAATATCGCTTATTATCATTTCACATCTATATTATGATAGTGTCCAAAGGCCCTAATCTGGATTGAAACCACTTTGTTTTAGGTGCTGAACAAAGACATAGTTAGATCTGACTGTATGAAATATATGGTAGTCAATTGCACCCAAATTGTGGCAGGAACCAGCAGTATTGCACAGGCAGTGCATGCATAGTCCTGGAGCAGGAGCAAAGAATGCCTTGACTTGCTCAGCAGCAATCCCTCTGTTTGGTTATAAAATGCTGTGGTCCGGCTATGAAGAGTACCAGTCCTCTGCCAGAAGAATGCTGACTGACACTTGGGAACACAATAGGAAGATATATATAATGGGGAGATGCTAAAATACATTTTGTTAGACATCAACCTTATTTTTAAACAGATCTCATTTTCATAATGTTATTAATGTGCCATGCACGAAAGAGAGAATTTCAATGGAAAAACAGAAAACACTTGTTAATAAGTTTTATACAGTGGAATGCAACTGTAAGGAACTGATATTGTGAAACTCCATTTAATGTGAAGAAGAATGAAACACCAATATTATTCCAATACGATAATGTGCAAAGTGATTTCCATTTTAATGAAGTTCTGTAAAGTTTAGACTTCACAGTAAGATGGTTCAATGTCATCTTAAAATAGATGTTTTGATAAATGTTGGTCCTAGAATTAAGTAGCAGAACTATGACTCTTATCCAGGAAGAGATTGCTTCAGAGATTGTGTTGTTGAGCATTCCACAAATTTCCTAATCTATAGCAATGATATGTTAACTAAAATTTAAAAATGTAGCTGTCAAACTATTACCACAGAAAGGTACATGTGTTTTTTGAATCAAGGCCTGGATGATGCACGCTTATAGAAACTCTTGGGCCAAAGTTAGATGGAAAAATCAATGGGCTTAAGACCGTGGAGTTTCTGCCCCCTTATGTGATTGCTTGTCAGAGTTTGGCCACCAAAGGAGCAGACAGTGGGCATGGCCTTAAACTCTGGATGCTCTGAAATTGGTGGGGAAATTCTATGGAACCTTGGGCAAATATGCAGTGGCTCAGAGCTTCCCCGCCACTCTCTGCCTGCCCAGTTTGCTTTGGCAACACTGTCAGCTGCCAGGGCATTCCCAACTATTGCTGGCTCTTTTCCTTGCCACTAGGGTTCTCTAGGGCATATAGCAGGAATGTGTGTAAATTAATGAGCACAGGGTTATTTTACTCTAGGAATTCCAGGAGAAGGATGCTGTGGAGAGTAGCGCTTTTCTAGTTCCATCTACTTTCCAACCAGCGGGGCTTCTCCCAAACCCACAGAAGCCTGACTGCATGTAGTTCAGGCAAGTGAGCTTTGCAGAATAGAGGGGAGGATGCCACATTGCTGCCATCACCTTATTTTTATACATTTTGGCTTACGGGTTTGGTCCTGCAAGGGGCTCACCAATTCCCAGAAGCGTTGAGCACCTGCAACACTTATTGACTTCAATGGGCACTTTGGGCAAGTTGTTTAGCACTTTGCTGGATAAAGCCTTTGAGGAAAATTATTGGAGAGATTGATACTCCCCTCTGTACAGTAAAAGCACTGTTTTCTGTTGTGAGCCAAAGCATTCATTAGGTTCAAATCAGTTCAAATAATTTGGATCCAGACACTTACATAATGACCAGGGGAAATTATTCATGTAATATATTGAAATAACAGTTAAAATGCTAGCTATGAGTATCAGGAAGTATGAATCAACATTAGAAATTTCTCACCAACATCCAAGTTGCTAGTCATAAAAGATAATGACACTTATAATCGTTGTCTGTTATTAAACTGTTCATAGATCAACAGACTGAGATTGAGCAATTGGTGTTGCATTTATTGCCTCTTGGGATGTCTTGGTCTCTTGCAAATGTACTAATGTCTACTCTTTTCAACTGAATGATAATTTATAATGCAAAATAACAGGAAGCTTACTGATATAGCATAAGATAGAGACAAGTTCTGATGGGAGAAAGACCAGCCTGAATTGCTGCGTATGAAAATGGGTATTGGTATGGTATATCCTAGGAAAAAGCAGCAAAAATGTACAGGATTTCAGTGTTTTTCAATGCTCCTATTAGGTATATACCAAAAAACTGCCAAAACTCATAGTTGAATTCTCTTCACCTGCAATCACCACCAACATGATTTTCCTGGTACTTGCATGTGATCAGGACTCCAATGAGTGGATGCTAACTAAATAGAAAGGCTACTTTTCATAGAATCATAGAATCATAGAATAACAGAGTTGGAAGGGACCTCTGGAGGCCATCTAGTCCAACCCCCTGCTCAGAGCATGACCAATCCCAACTAAATCATACCAGCCAGGGCTTTGTCAAGCCTGACCTTAAAAACTTTTAAGGAAGGGGATTCCACCACCTCCCTAGGTAACGCATTCCAGTGTTTCACCACCCTCCTAGTGAAAAAGTTTTTCCTAATATCCAACCTAAACCTCCCCCACTGCAACTTGAGACCATTACTCCTTGTCCTGTCATCTGCTATCACTGAGAATAGTCTAGATCCATCCTCTTTGGATGCACCTTTCAGGTAGTTAAAAGCGGCTATCAAATCCCCCCTCATTCTTCTCTTCCGTAGACTAAAGAATCCCAGTTCCCTCAGCCTCTCCTCATAAGTCATGTGTTCCAGTCCCCTAATCATTTTTGTTGCCCTTCGCTGGACTCTCTCCAATTTCTCCACATCCTTCTTGTAGTGTGGGGCCCAAAACTGGACACAGTACTCCAGATGAGGCCTCACCAATGTCGAATAGAGGGGAACGATCACGTCCCTTGATCTGCTGGCAATGCCCCTACTTATACACCCCAAAATGCCATTGGCCTTCTTGGCAACAAGGGCACACTGTTGACTCATATCCAGCTTCTCGTCCACTGTCACCCCTAGGTCCTTCTCTGCAGAACTGCTGCCTAGCCATTTGGTTCCTAGTCTGTAGCGGTGCATTGGATTCTTCTGTCCTAAGTTCAGGACTCTGCACTTGTCCTTGTTGAACCTCATCAGATTTCTTTTGGCCCAATCCTCCAATTTGTCTAGGTCCCTCTGTATCCTATCCCTACCCTCCAGCATATCTACCACTCCTCCCAGTTTAGTGTCATCCGCAAACTTGCTGAGGGTGCAATCAACACCATCCTCCAGATCATTAATGAAGATATTGAACAAAACCGGCCCCAGGACTGACCCTTGGGGCACTCCGCTAGATACCGGCTGCCAACTAGACATGGAGCCATTGATCACTACCCATTGAGCCCGACAATCTAGCCAACTTTCTACCACCTTGTAGTGCATCCATCCAGCCCATACTTCTTTAACTTGCTGACAAGAATACTGTGGGAGACCGTGTCAAAAGCTTTGCTAAAGTCGAGGAATAACACGTCCACTGCTGTCCCTTCATCCACAGAACCAGTTATCTCATCATAGAAGGCAATTAGATTAGTCAGGCATGACTTTCCCTTGGTGAATCCATGCTGACTGTTCCTGATCACTTTCCTCTCATCTAAGTGCTTCAGAATTGATTCCTTGAGGACATGCTCCATGATTTTTCCAGGGACTGAGGTGAGGCTGAC